AAAAAAAAAAAAAGAGAAATATCAAACCTAGCTAAGTAGAGAGGGTTGTTGTGAAAGGAATAGTTGGTGTCAGGTTTTTGTACCTAGCTTTTAATAATGGATTCTCTAATATAACAAGCACACAAACAGCAAAACACAAAATAAATAAATGGGACTTTCTAAAAATTAAAAACATATTCATCAAAAGACTACCAAAAATGCATGGCTGAATGGAATAGAGGTGGACTGTATCATTTGCACAGCCTTGGAATAACAAGGCTCTATAATATAGTGATCAAAGAAGAGGAAATAATGGTAAGATATTTTACTGTTTACAAAAGGACAAATTTTGCATATAAGACCATTATTGTAAAAGCGAAAGACAAAATGTCCATAATAAAGGAAGAAAAAAATATATGTTGGCTACCACGGGTGGGACAGAAGGGACAGTAAGGCACAGGTTGGGGACAATAACATCACAGGTTGGGTGAGGAAGGGGAAGGCCATACACAAGAAGTGGGAGGGAGATGGAAGAACAAGGAAGATAGGGGAACACACAGGCAGGTTTGCATGGGCTAAAAGGGACAGAGGTAAACAGGGATGTATGCTTAACCATGGAACAATGCTCTGTGATACAGGGATAGAAGCATAATTTGAAATTACCATAAAAGAAGGGAAATAATGCTAAGGTGACTGATTGCATTATGAATATGGGTTTCCCCTACCTACTAATATAAAATAAACACTTGAGTGGGATATAAAAGAATATAAGGAAATATGATTACAAAAAGCCTGTAAGCCCGTCTTCAGCTTGTAACTAATTAGAATAACTAAAAGGGGTTCTAGAACTTGCCCAGTGAAACAGGCTTCTTGCGGAGCCTCTTTAGAGTATAGGACCTTAGATGGAATCCTGAATTCCATACAGAACCTTCTGAGGTGGGACATTCCCACTTGAAAGGACATGCAGACCAACCAGAGCAGAGCAGCTAGAAGAACAGAAAATACTTCTTGAAAGACCAGCAGATTAAAAAAAAAAGCAAACTATTTGCATATTACAAGAACAAGCAAGCTGTTCACCTGAGAGTCATCACGGCAAGCCATTAAGGCCCTTCAGAACAAACCCCCTTCCTAGATTGAAACTCAAAGGGAACACACAAGCAGGCTTGTAAGCGAGTTAGTGACGTTGGTCTACTTGTTAGTGAAATGTGGGGGAAAGGCAGTAATGAAGACATGGGCTGAGCTTGACTATGTTGCATACACTGTCAACCTTGAGATGAGAGAGAGAAGAGGGAGGGATGGTTGGTCCAAAGTTTGGGGAAACTTGGGAACCCATGAGTGCATGGACACTGACCTAGCCACTGGGGACTACAGTTGACAGTGAACCAGCCAGCTGATATGAAGTGGGGGAATGTGCACAAGAATGCCCAAACTTGCAGATAATACCCATTTGACCTAGCTTGGATGGCTTGATGATCAGAACTCGACTAAAGGAAGATAAAAAAATTTGATACAGGGAACAAGTATAAATTGCTACAATTTGATGAACTTGACCTTAACTTATGGTTAACCTTAGCTCAAAGTACCACCTGAAAGGGAAGGAGTCTTCACATCAAGGATCAAGCCTATCCTCTCAATACACAGGGTTGATAGGAATGGGCAATTTAGATAGACACTGGCTACCCAAAAATGGGGGGGGGGGGCCTTTAAAGGCACGAAGTGGTTGACTTACAAGCTTTCAAGAGGCAGTTTAGTTTCAGAGTGAGCAGGGGAAGATAGAATCCCCAATGAATAGTTTTCATCTTGTCTAGATGGGTCTGGTCAAAGGAGATGGAAATAGTAGGATTCTTTTGATTTAATAGTAATTGTTAGCATGACTAACTGCGATTATCACAAGTGTAAAGGTACAAGTTGCATGACAAAAAGGGGAGAGTAGTTAATCTTACATTCCATGAACAAAGGACCATAAGAGCAGCAAGAGGGAAGAGTATGAGTAGGATGTGGGATCCTTACCAGAGAAGCATCGACAACAGAGATGGAGGCAGAGGTGATGGTATGGAGAGAGAGTATCTGAGGACTCTAGACTCATGGAAAGAGAAAGACTGTGTGCTGAAAGGCAGGGGGCTAGTCTGCAAAATGTGCCCTATGGTTGTTTAAACGATTATATATTCCTGCATGTTTCTGTGTACATCTAAAAAAAAAAAGAGGGAATAGAGGCAAATACTGTTAACCAGTGGCACATAGAGGGAATTGTATTCATTGCAATGAAACAAGATGCAATTGGTTGAGTGCAAAACTGATGCTGATGTTCTGCCCTGTAGACTACCACTCAACTCATAATAAAAGCTTTAAAACTCAACAAAAAATTCTGAAAAAAATTATAACCAAGAATCATATATCCAGCAAAACTGTCCATCAAATATGACAGCAAATTATGTCATTTTCAGACAATCACAAATTTAAAAAATTTGTGAAATCCAGACTAACCTTACAAAAAATACTGAAGGGAATTCTTTGGAGAAAGAACCAACAACAGTAGACAACCTGAGACTAACATACATGACAATATCACATAGACTCAACCCAAATATAGAAATATTAAACGTAAAACAGATCTGTAAGACTGATAATAGAAAATCAGCGATACAGTTGCAAAATGAAAAAAAAAAAAATAACCATAAAGCAAAAACAGGGGATAATATAGTTATAGAACTTTCAGATTAAGAGGAAATCAAATATATTTCAATAAAAAAATTAAAGTAAATAAAAATAAACCTAACTGTAAAAAAAAAGCCCAAGCTTGCCGATAGCTTAATAATCAGAACTCAACTAGAGGAAGATCCTCTGTATACAGGGTAGATAGGAACAGGGAACTTAGGCATTGGCTACCTAAAATGAGGGGGCAAAAAACACATAAAGTGACTGGCTTACAAGTTTTCAAGAGGGAGTTTAGTTTAAGTGTGCGGGGGCAAGCGGAATGCAGTATCTTATCCAGAGAAGAAGTGATACCAGACATAGAGTCAGAGATGGGGACATGGAGAGAGGGAGCAGCTGAGAACTCTAGATTCATGGAAAGAGCGGGAATGAGAGCTGGCGGCCAGGAGGTAGATTTGTAGAATGTGCCCTTTGGTGGTGTTAATTACTATATATGCCTGAGTGTTAAGAAAAAAAAACGAGCTAAAATGAATAGAGAGAAATACTGTTAACTGATGGTACATGGAGGGGATTATAATCATTACAATGAAACAAAGTATATGATTTGTTGAACGTAAAACTGATGATCTGCCCTGTAAACTTTTCACTCAATTCACAATAAAAACTTAAAAATAAATAAATAAATAAAAAGGAAAAACAAAGCAAAACGGAGGAGTAGTTAATTTTACAGTCCAGAAATAGAGGAAACCTAGGCCCATCAAGGGAGAAGAGCACAAGTGGAATGCGGGACTCTATCCAGAGAAGTCAGCAACATCAGAGATGGAGGCAGAGATGAAAACATGGAGAGAGAGAGCAGCTGAGGACTCTAGACTCATGGAAAGAGAGGGACTGAGTGCTGGCAGCCATGAGGCAGGCTTGTAGAATGTGCCCTTTGGTCAAATTATTATACACTCTTGAGTGTTTTTGTGTACAAATCCCCATCCCCCCCAAAATAAAGAAAAACAGAGGGAATGGAAGCAAACACTGTTGAATGACAATGCACGGAGGATATTGTAATCACTCCAATGAAACGATGGTGTAAAGCCTATGTTCTCCCATGTAAACTGTCACTCGTTCACATTAAAAAAAAAAAAAGTAAATAAATTGAAAAAAGAAAACAGAGATAAGTAACTTGGTGTTTACTGTCCACATTAGGAGAAAAGAATGAGGGTGCCTGGGGATACAAAGCAAGGAACTGACTACTCAGAGCCACATTAGGATTTTAAGGGAAAAAGGTAAAGGGAGCCTACTGACCTTCTAGATTTAGCCTAGTTCAACAAGATAGAAAAGTGAAGGCAGGCAAGATTCAGGACAGAAGTCTTGGCTAGAAACAAGGAGTGGGGTTTGGTTAGAGCACAAACATGCCCCTTAGGAATTTAGGAAGAGTGGTAAGTAGCTGAAATACAAATTCAACTGAAGGGAGATATCCCTGACCACTTACCTTGGAAAGTAATAATGACAAAAACAGTTTGAGGATGGGAAGCAAACAGGGATATTCTTTGGATTACCCTGATGATCAGATGTAAAAGTTTTAGAAGGTGATTCTAATAAAATCCTTATATCTAAGATATTGCTAGCAAACTACGACCCCCTGTCCACAGGATTTCTTACCGTATACACTGCCAGCAGAGCCAACTGGTTATATGGGCGCCCATTTTTGGGAGCAATGTGCTGAGCCTTCAGGTACCAACTAAAACAAACAAAAAAAAAATAGTACGATAAAGCTAACTAAGTCCAAATCAACTTTTTCCCAGTTCATCGCAATATTCCTGCCTGTTTGTTGTTAGGTACCATCAAGTCAGTACCGACCCATAGCACAGCAGAACAAAACACTGCCCAATCCTGGGCCAACCTCAACTACTGTTGCCACGCAGCAAGCCATAAACTGGAATGTGAGATGCGGCACTGTAATGGTAGAGCACAACTACAGGGGCAATAGAGATACCCATATTGGAGGCAGCTTCACTGGTCCACTGCTCTTAACAGGACTTAGCTTAATGCCACATGGGAAAGAGAGGTAATAAAAGATAAAAGTACCTGCGTGCTTTCCCATAGTTTGCTGTATCATTGGCTTGCTCCCGATACCTAGCAATGTCTCCTTGACAAATCATACATCTCTGAGCACTGATCAAGGCATATTTGACCTTAAAGGAAAAAAAAAAAAAAAATCAACAACAATCTGTTAGTAGAGTACCCACAAAACTCTAAACTTCAATCCCAAAGGACATTGATGAGATCAAAATGACAGACCAGCATTAATAAGGCACTAAAGTGGAATGATTTGGAAGATGATAGCAAGAATGATTGCACAACTTTATGTCACTGAATTGTACAACTAGACACTGTTGAGATGGACTTTGTTTTGTTATGTATCTTTTCACCACAAGAAAATATATTTGTTGTTGTTAAGTGCCATCGAGTTGGTTCCAACTCATAGCGACCCTATATAGGGTTTCCAAGGAGTGGCTGGTAGATTAGAACTGCAGACCTTACGGTTAGCAATCCAGTGCTTATCCTTCAGCATCATACCAGAATTCCAAGACAATAATTAGTAACTAATAAATAAATAAATAAAGCACTGATGTTTTTAACCTAACTCTGATTATAAAAACCAACAAACAACGTGATATACAAATTTACTAAGAAAAGAGCCATAGAACAGAGGGGTCATTATTTGGACTCCCAAGTCAAAGGAAAAAACATGCTGACATTAGGAGTCAAAAGATCTAAATCTTTGTCAAAGTTTGTATCTTAAGTCTTCAGGACTCAGTTTCCTCATCGGTATGTAAAAAAACCTTATACCAAAAGGTAACTTTGTAAGGTGCCATTGAGTTTATTCTGACTCATAGTGACCCAGTACAGGGTTTCCAAGAAGCAGCTGATGGGTTTGAACAGCCAACTTTATAGTTAATGGTCCAATGTTTATTCTACAGTGCCACCCAGGCCAGGCCAAAAGGGTACCTGGGAGGAGCAAGTGTACAAATACAAATTAAAAAGTGATATGCAAATATAAACATAATTAATTGTATGCTCTGCTCTTTACCTGCCTTCATTATAGCCTTTTTGTCCTCAAAGTGTTATCACTATTTTATGTTACTGTATTACGTTCCCTTTCCCTAATAAGAGTAATGGCCATCCTTTACCAAACACATTATGTAATGGATTTTGTACTACTATATAAATGTTTCTCACTGATGAGCGTAATTTCTGTCAGTCAGAAAGCAATCCCAAGACATGTGTCCAACATAAAATGAAAAAAAATTCATTGGTGTTCCCTTCACAATACATGAGTGAAACCTGTGAGAGCTGAAACTAGACAGAACTGCCTTATTTTTCTAGGTCTTGTAAATGTTCTGTCTCTGGCTGGGTGTAGTCTTAGCACATTTTTGCTGCTTGTTTCCTTTTTCATTTTCCATTACTTAATTCAATTTTTAACTGAATTTTAAGTATCTAAAGGAAAATATTCAAGTTATCCTTCTCTGGCAGGTTTCTGCCATAAAGAGGTTATGACTTTTGCAGGTTTTAATGTAATTCTACTGGATTCCATGCATAAGAAATTACCATGTCTCTAGAATAAAGCGCAAAGCTCATGAAAAAAGCTCACTCACTAGGTAAATGACTGGTGGTAGTGGTGTACCATGGAGTCGGTTCCAACCCAGGTTCATAGTGATCCTAAATAGGGTTTCCGAGGCTGTAAATCTTTACAGTAGCAGAAAGCCTCATCTTTCTGCTGACCTTGAGATTAGCAGCAGCAAAGCTATATAAAGATAAGTTAAAAACCATTGCCACTAAATTTTCAGTTCATATATGTATACATTTATTCCAAATGTGTTTTAAATTGTCTCTGCAATCAGTGGATAGTTGCAGACAAGTTTTCTCAGTAACACACTTGTCTTAGTTCCCTTAGGATGCCTTCAAAAAACTATCCAATCAAAACTGTGGCTTCTGAGGGGATCCCCTGGGCCAATTCAATTCAAAGCAGAGAGGTCAGCTCAGAAAGTTATGTGACTATTTCGGAGGATGACAAAGGGGTCATCTTAATAGTCTCTTGAAAGACACAGGGGAATTGTTAGAATGATCATGGGGGCTTATTAGGAAGAAACTTTGAAAATGCTAATGGAGAGAAAAAGACCAGGAAAGTTGCACAATGGAATAGTATTTTTCCATCACAGCAATACACTTGCTCATTCTTTGAGCAGCAAAGGTTGTCCTATGTGAGTTTCACTGACAAGCCTTACCCTATCTCTTCTACAGCCCTGATCTTGTCCCCTTTCAGGCTTCTTTTTGTCCCCCAAATTTAAAGAACATTGAAAAGGAACACAATTCAAATCCCTCGTGGATACCAAAACTGCTGTTTTGATATAGTATAAATCAAAGAGCGAAGAATTCTTCAGGTGAGGGTTAGAGAGATAGAAACATTGCCTTCAAATGTGTTAATAGACCTAGATGGAAGGTAAGTTGAGAAATAATAGCTGCACATTTTGATGTTCCTAGGATATGCTGAGAAATAATTGCTTCACATTTTGATATTGCAATGATTTTGTAGCAATACTTTTTAACTTATCCTCATATAATACTACACGTCCTAAGACGTTCACGTAGCCCTTCAGGGTCCTGACTATGCCACATGTTCTCTCTACACATGATACCAAAACCCTCGATAATCCATTGATAAACCAACAAGAAAGTTGGCTATCTCCATATCACAGTCTCTTTGTCATCCAATGAAGGGAAAAAATAAATTTGTTTATCTTCAGAACAAAGTTCTATATCATCTAGGAATTTATATATGTACGTATGTTGTTGTAAAGTGCTGTTCAGTAGTTTCCAACTCACAACAACCCTGCATAGGGCTTCAGAGGAAAAGCTCGATGGGTTCGCAGTCCAGTGCTGATCCTACAACTCCATCTATATATACACGTATATGTATATGTATATATAACACACACACATACATACCCTATTACAGGGTCACTATGAGTTGGAACTAACTCGATGACATTAACATATCTATTTTACTGGACTCCTGGTTTAGCACTATAAGATAGGCACAGGACTACAAACCACAAGGCTGACAACGGTTCAAAACCACCAGCTACTCCTTGGAAATCCTATACAGGGGCGCTATGAGTCTGAATGGACTAGACGGCATTTAACAATAACACATACTTTACCACAATTTTTTTTTTTAAGTTTATTATCTAAATCCATGCCTACTTCTTCCTCCAGCTTTACCTGCAATAGCCACAGTCTACAATATGTTATTGTTGTTAAGTGCCGTTTAGTCGATTCTGAGCCATAGTGACCTTGTAGAGGGTATCCATCTCCAGAGACTGGTCCCTCCTGACAATATGTACCAAGTATGAAAGTGCTCCTAGCCTCCAAGGAGTACTGTGGCTGCACTTCTTCCAACATAGATCTGCTGTTTCTTTTGGCAGCCCAAGGCACTTTATTCTCCTCCAACACCATAACTCAAAAGCATCAATTCTTCTACAGTCTTCCTTATTCACTGTCCAGCTTTCACATGCATATGAGGTTATTGAAAACACCAAGGCTTGGTCAGGCACACCTTAGTCCTCAAGTTGACAGCTTTGTTCTTCAACACTTTACAAAGGTCTTGTGCAGCAGATATGCCTAATGCAATAAATATGTTGTTTGACTTCTTGACTGCTGCTTCCATGAGTGCTGATAGTTGATCCAAGAAGAATGAAGTCCTTGATAACTTCAATCTTTTCTCCGTTGATAAGAATGTTGTTTATTGCTCTAGCGGTGAGGATTTTTGTTTTCTTTACATTGAGATGCATCCATACCAAAGGCTGTGCTCTTTGATCTCCATCAGTAAATAGTTTAACTCCTCTTCACTTTCACCAAGCAAGGTTGTATCATTTGCATATCGCAGGTGTTAATGAGTCTTCCTCCAATCCTGATGTCACCTTTTTCTTCATTGGACTTCTTGCACTTTTCCAATAATGCTTGGTTCTCTATTGCTGTGCTAAATTATCTATTCTGCCCTCCAACCTTTCAAACTCCTAAGTCATTTTTTAAAGACTCAGCTTGAGAGTCTTTAAGAAGCATTCACTAAGTATACCGGTAAATAGTGCTAACTGACAGTACATGGGAGGGGGCTGCAATCGTTGTAATGTAACGAAGTATATGATTTGTTGAATGTAAAACAGATGATCTACTCAGTAAACCTCCACTAAATTCACAATAAAAAGTTTTTTAAAAAAAGAAAACATTCACTGACTACATGAGGCTAAAATCCACTTCCTTCAATGTCCCTTCATGGTAATGGTAATGTATATCATTACAACAGAATTCGTGGCACTACCAGTCCCCCTATTAGTTTACCCTTCATTCTTGCATCCTCAACACCCAGCACAATGTCTGATAATATTATTGGCACTAGATAAATGTTTACTAAATAGATAAGCACATTTAAGATAAAAAAAGAAGCAAAGCTGGCTTACTGTCTTGTGCAATGGTTTGCTGCGAATAGCAAGACCATCCATATAGTCCTCGAGTTTGAACTTGTAAGTAACTTGTAACTTCTGGAGCAAACTATCAAAGAAGTCACTTCCCTATGAAGAGAAAAAAATTAAGAAATGGTTGATCAGTCTGTTCTAACACAATCTGCACACCTGGGGCAAGTAAACCTACTTATGCAAAGGGAGGAACATACAGTATTAAGTACCACAACTAAGGCCAGATTTATAGCATAAACCTTTCCATGGTTTTAAAGATGTTAACACACACACACTCACTCACTCCTGGGCTGACATTCAAAATACTTCCAAGCTCAAAACTAATTCCAAATGTCAGTAAGTTACAGTCCCAAGTAGGGTAGGGTCGACCTGAACTAAAAAAAAAAAAGTATACAGTTTTTGTCAATGTTCTCTATTAAAACATAATATTTATATGGTAAAAATTCTATCTATAAAGTCTCTTGTGATACAAGGGTGAATAATTATTACCAGGACGGATTGTGAAGGTTGTAAATGTTAAAGTAAACATTTTGTGACAAGGAGGGGAGTGATTAACTTTGCAGGCTAGGAGCGGAGGTCCCTGGAACCATGACGGGAGAAGAGCGGAGAGCAGGACCCTACCCAGAGAAGCAGCAATCTCCAAGATGGAGTCAGAAATGATGACATGGAAAGATGGAGCAGCTGGGGACTCGGGACCCAGGGAGGGAGAGGGCCTGTGTACTGACAACCGGGAGTGGGGGGTGGGGAGGGGGAAGCAGGCTGGTAGAATGTACCCTTTCATTGATTGGTGATGCATGGAGGGGATTGTAACAAAGGCAATGAAACAATATACGATAGGATGAATGTAAAACTAATGTTCTCCCATGTACCCATGTAAACAATCACATAATTCACAATAAAACTTAAAAAAAAAAGATAGAATAAAAAAAAATTTTTTTAATCCTATCTATAGGATGTCAAAGCTTTTATCCTGAAGATAAAAAAAAAGAAAAAAATGACCGTTTACCTCATCCAAGAGCTCTAAAAGTCTGTTCCGAATCTGTTCACGGTTGTCAACCTTCGGATCCTTGAGAAGCTGCCTGAACTTCTCGATCACCTGATAGAAAGCATTCTTCCACAGGATCTGATCCACATTCTGATTATCAGAGAACTCAATATCTAATAGAATACAGCGCTCATATAGCTGCAACATTTCAGCTCTAAAATAAAACACATGCAAATTCTAGCTCCAAATACACCACAGAAAAGGTTAGACCCAAAATTCAAGCTTTCTGCAAAAAACCCAAAATGCTACCAGTATGTAGGTAGTAAGTACTCACTCTGGTTAGTATAAGGCACAGTAAAGTATCACTCTAAAAGAATTTTATCTAGGAAAAGTAGTTTCTCCCCATATGGCTTCACCTAACTATAATAGCTGAAATAACATCTTGACCACAGTTATAGTTTGCTTATTTCTTGGCATTCTGGTAGGTCTTTTTCTATTTCAAGACTCTGGACTTTAAAAAATATGTATTTCTTAAAGCAAAAGTGGGAAGTATAGTCATTTACAACACTATAAACAAAACCTGTTTTGTTCTTTGTCTAACAGCCCCTCCCTTACCCAGTGGCTCACTTAAAAGACTACTGTCCTCAGTCCATCTCCTTTTTCCTGATTCCCATCTCCCTCTAATCAGGATGAAACATACCATACCTGAGCTGAGCCATCTTCTCGAGACCTTCAGGACTAATGCGATCCCTGGAGAGCAAATTGCTGAGCTGCAGTTCCTGGTTGTCAGCCACCCTAAGAAGCCTATGTAGCTCTTGTTGCTGCATGTTCCTCATGTGTTGCTCCATTTCCTCAGGACTCATGGTGCTGGTAGGAAGAGGGCTACAAACATACTGGCCTGATGGAGTTGGGTAGCCTGGGTAGTAAGGGCCTGGGTATACACCATTTGTAGCGCCCACTGGGTATTGCAGAGGGCTATAACCTGTATAGGGGTATTGGGAGGCTGGGCCTGTTGTTCGGGGGTAATAATAGGGATTGTCAGAGTTTTGAAACTTATAGTAAGATGCTTGGGCCTGGCGGGAATCACCCCAAGATGTAGGGCTGACTTCATCATCAGTGTCCAAGAAGTGCAGCTGGGGTATCTGGCTCTTAAGAGCAGGTTTCTGATCAGGATTGTTTGGGTCCCACAGTCGGCGGGTGGTGCCTCCACGGCCCCAATTCCGAGATCCTTTACTGCCGGATCCAAATAAAAGCCGAGGTTGCAAAGGTGTGGCCTCTGGAGAGCCTGAAGTGACAGACAAGGTGGTATGGGCTGGCAGGATGAGGATGCCACGACCACGACCTCGAAGTTCGCGTTTTAGTGTTTGGGACTCCTGCTTCTCAGAGGCTTTGCCCCCACTGCTCAAGCTCCTGTCAGATTTTAGCCTATCCACATCCTCCCTATCTGATCTTACCATGGGGGAATCTTTGTTCATGGTTTCTGCATCAAAGGTGACACGAAGAGTGCCTCGATTTTCTTTACCATTGCTTTTCTGCTCACATTCACCTCGGCCAGACCAGCTTCTTTCCAAATGCTTCTTCCTTTCTGAGCTCCTCCTAGGCACTAATCCATCAGGTTCATCAATTCTGTCCTCATCCAAGGAGTCGGTTGAGGACATGGATAACTGCTTCTTCAGTTGTGGCCTCTCTTTGGTACGATCCTGTCGCCGGCGTCGACATCCACTGTCAGTCAGGCCAACTCCCTCAACACTGTTGCTGCTACCAGCTGAACTGGTACTGCAAGTACGGTAGCGATTTCTTCGTTTGTCTGAGCGGGAGTAGCGCTTTGCAGAACCTGGCTTCCCCTGCGACAGGTCATCATTCTCTTTCTTCATCCCCTCCCCCTTTTCAATACGCTTACCTTTCTCTCCTTTTGCAGCTCGTACTCTGTCACCATTTGGGCTCTTTTCCATCTCATCTTTCTCTGGTTTGTTCATAACCTCTTCTTTCACATTTCTCCTACACCCATCTTCCTCTACTCTCAGTTGCTCTACCTGGTTGACAATTTCTTCCTCATCCACGCAGCTGGCCAATTCTTTGGTAACAGTCTGTAAACGCCGAACAGGTTGATAGATTTGCAGGTCAGGTCTCTTTGTTCTTTTGATAATTCTTAAACTTCGATCCTCTTGTCCAGTAGTTTTAGAAAAGGATTCCTGTCCCCGAATAGTTTCTGGGTCAACAGGACCATTTTGCTGTTGGTTGTTCAGTTCCTTGCAGACATCTTTAACATGTGTGCCATTTCTGACAGCAGAAAAATCTCTGTCATTGATAATTTCATCCTTACATTCCTCAAGCCCAGAAGGTTCCTTAACTTTAGATTTGTTCTTCAGTCGAAAAAGACCAGGCTTATAGATTTCCAGATCTGGGCGCCTGTTATCTTTACGCTGCCTGGGTTCTTTTAATTCCTTCATGTTTTCTGTGGTGTAGGGGTTAGGGGAGGGGGAAAAGAGGTAGAAGAAAATAATAAAGGAGGAGGGGGGAAAATCATCACTCTGATTATGTAGCAGAAAAGCTAAACAAGAATTACATATCTAAATAATCATATTGGTGGCCAAAAATGGAAATTTCTGAAAAAGCAGGAATTCTGGGTTTACAATATTTATTATTTGTTCAGCAACTGGCATGGTTAAGAACTCAATTGGATTATACACTTGGGTCAGGGAAACGTGAAAAAATTATAATCTCTTGTGTTATCTAGGTCATGTTCAGAACCTTATCACCCAAAATTGTCAAAATAAATGCGCTCTAATGGCTTTCTGCTCCCATAAAGATTTACAGCCTCAGAAACCCTGTACAGGGTAGTTAAGAGTTAGAACTGAATCCAGGACACACAACCACCACCACCACCACCACCATCGGCTTTAGCATTAAACTGTTCTCTGTCTACAGAGTCCTAGGTCCATCTCAGTCTTTTCTTTTTCTGCCTCTAGCATTTTTCCATAGGAACTAAGTCCTTTTTAGCATAGTGGCAGTGGTTGGTGGTTATTGCTATTGAGTCGGTTCTGACTCATAGTGTTCTGGTAGGATTTCCGACACTATAAATCTGTACAGGAACAAAAAGCTTCATCTTTCTCCCTGGGAGCAGCTGGTATATTCCAACTGCTGACCTTTTGGTAGCAACTCAGCTTGAACCACTACAATACCAGAGATACTTTAGAATAGTAGTAAAAAACCAAAAAATAAAGACAAAAAGCAGGGTATGCATAGTAATCCACACCTGTGGACACCTGTAGAAAAAAATAAATTGTAACTTCCAGGCTCAACTTGGTCAGAGTAATCCTCTATTTAGGATACCAATTTCTTAATCAAATACCTCTTGTTGAACAAACAAGAAACAGTTCCTTTCACATTCTTCAACTCCACTCTCTAACAGCAGCCAGCAGAGTCAGTCCAAGGAAATACTCTCGGACTACCATCATTAGAATACTGAGACTAACTGCTACTATGATGATGAAATATGAATAGGAAAGGGTTCCATCAGGAAGCTTTCCCTTGAAGTTGATCATAGGGTTGTGACTTGGTTTCAAAACACCAAGAACTAAGACATTCAAGAATAAGCGTTAAAAAAAAAAAAAAAAAAGCAGCAACGAAGAATAAGCGTACCAGGCATTAGAGGCTATTCTCCAGCTTCCAACAACTTACTGAATAACCAATAAACAAGCTTCTATTTTTTGTCAAGTATTTGGTACCTTTATCTATGAACAGGGACGGCTACTACAAGTAGTCACCACACACTTCAGTGGGAAAGGGAAAGGAATTAATAAGCATATGAGAGAGTACTCAAAATGAAATATTATATAAAATTCTAGTGTAATTCTATAAACACAAATGCAAACATGCTGGTAACAGGGATGCAGACTCCAGATGGGTGAGTATAACAGAAAACAAATCAAATCTCCAAGTTTAAAACACTGCTTCATTATCTTTAGGAAATGACAAGACTGCTTCAATAAGAATGAAGAAAGGTAAAGCAATTTAACCCTTGAGTCAAACTTCAGAACACATTCTCAGCAGCCTTTGTTAGGGCACGAGGGGGATGCCTGAATAATTCAATTCAGTTGACCAAGAAAACCAATTTCACAATTTCTCCACAAGCCTGGAAAAGACATCTATCATAGCCATCATTCTACATAATTCCACTGCCTAACAAAGGACAGGCGAGACACTAGAACCCTCCTGGAGATTTCCTGGGGTGCCTTGGAAACTTGAACTTGCAAACTGACCGTTCTCTTTTAATAAAAACTGTTCCCAAACAAACCATGGCCAAACAATAGTAAAGTCAGCTCTCTGAGGTCCTGGGTCCCTCCAGTGGCGCAGCCTTCAGAAGCCTACCTTGGGGAAAAAAGTTCAACGGGGAAGTTTCTCCAGGATGTTAACCCTCTCTCCTTTACATCTCCAGGTCCTTCTCTCCTATGCTTAAGAGGCAACCAGTGGCAGGCTAAGAACTAGACCCCCTGGGGCGTTCACCAGACCCCAAGCGTCCACTCCGGCTCGGGTCCACTGACCGCTGGAAAGCCACGGGTTAGCCTGAAAGGGCTGGGGCAAAAGGGAACAGTCACCTTAGCCAGAGAAAGGGGGTGGTGACAGAAATTCGGGCGCGGCTTTCACAAGGGAAGCCGAGTCCGACCCCAAACTAGTCCTCAGAAGGGAAACACTTCTAGGGGAAGTACCGCGGCCCCCGCCCCCACTGTAGGGGATAGGGGCGGGGGCTCAGGAGCGCCGCGGACCGAGCGGGGAGGAGGCAAAGGAGGAGAGGGAGGCGGGGCGGGCAGGCCCGGCCCAGGAGCTGGGCGGCGCGACTCACCTCTGCTCTCGGCCTGCGGAGCCAGAGTAGCCAGGATCCCTCGCAGCTCGGACGCGGACATCCGTACACGCTCCAACCCCTCCGCCATCTTCGCGGCTGCTGCTCCAGCTGCAGCTTCTCAGCCACCGCCGCGCGCAGCCAGGAAACCACGACGGACGGGCAGTGCGCGCGCTCACCCACCTCCCACCCTTTTCCCCGCCCCCTGCCTCCCCAAACGACGGTGGCCGCGCTGGGAGGAAAAGCTTTGATCACAAGTTCGGCCCCTCTTGTTGGGTAGTGTTGGAGCGCAGGCCCGGCCGCGAGAAGCGAGCTTTGCGCGTGCGCAGAGATGCAGTCGTGGGAAGGTGAGCGGAGACTGGAGTTCGAAGCGCGGCCCCTGTGAGGTGAGGTAAGGCCAAGCTAAACCAAGCCAGGAGGGGCGGGGCGGAGCAGGGCGGGGCTTTCGTGTCGATGGCTGCAGTAGTTGTTGTTGCTTTGGTGGCGTTCGGAAACATTGATGCTGCTCTGGGACTCGAGTAGGCAGAGACACAATCTGGCCTTCTATCGTCCTAGGCCAGGCTCTCCCGCCACAGGCTAGGACTAGTGCCCCAGACTTTTAACTTGGAGACCTTAAAGATGTTTAAGAGTAAATATTATCATCAATATTTGAAAGATGAGGAAACTGAATCCCAGAGAAGCGAAGTAAATTGCCTAGGGAATATCCAGATCTTTTTCTTTATGGCAAACGACATCTTCAAGCCTCCTGACTTAAAAAAATAATAACAATACAATAACAGTTGGCTCTTGGTTGAGGTGGAACATGTTGTGCAGCGATACTGTAATTCTATCTGGGAATTTCTGTTTACTGTGGATTTTTTTTTTTAATTACTCACATGTAACGCAGGTCTTCTCAAACCTCCCCAACCCCATCTTTAAAATTTAGCTGAGCCAGAAGACCGGTACCTAACTTTTTTTTTTTAAATCATTAACCCCTGTTCAGATGTTGATGAAACTCCCTCTCCCAAGGCTGCCTCCCTCCATCTGTTGCTTTTTCTCTGTCTCACCCAGCCAACTGGACCTCTAAACCATCAGATTCCTTACCAACTGCTTTACAATTTAGGCCTAAAAGATTGGAAGATCTCAATTCGTATTATGAGACAGATGCTATGCCAGAATGTTATGAAGACGGACGAAGTCAATAGATAACGTGAAAAGACTCAAGGTTCAAAAGAAGGAAACGAATTTAAGTAGTCGAAGCAAATGACAACCTTTGAAAGAGATTTGCAAGACATTGGAAGAAATCTCAAAAACAAATTCCTTTCCACTGTGAAATGTGAGAGGGTGTTGCATCAATATTTTTTAAAACATAGAAATGATGAAAAATAAATCTGAAACAAAACCTTAGAGAGGAAAACCACCATTACCAAATAATGCAACAGTGTCAGTCAAGTGCAGATTGTTGTTGTTAGTGCTGTGGAGTTGGTTCCAACTCATAATGACCCTGTATAGGGTTTCCGAGGAGCAGCTGGTAGCTTTGAACTACTGACCTTGTGGTTCGCAGGCCAGTGCTGACCCTACAGCACCATGTGCACATTAGATATGCTAAAAGTGAAAGCACTGCAAAAAATTTTTGCTAGCTCTGAAAGGGAAAACATAATAGATACAAATATGAAAAAAAAAGAGTAGAAGACATGGAGAACAGATCCAGAAATTGAATAAATATGATGAAATATGAATTCCAGAAAGTGATGACAGAACTGAGGAGGAGCAATGATCAAAGAAATAATAGAAGAAAAATCAGAATTCTTAGATCTGTATCATAAGAAAACCTGAGTTGAAAGAATTAAATTATCTTTATGTATTGACACAATGTATTGTTAAATAAAAATTTTAAAGCAAAAATGGAGTAGGTTTCAGGATGTATCAAACCAAAACCCAACTACTGTCGTTGGTTCAAACTCTCATCGGATTCTTTGGGTTTCGGAAACTGCAAAGGAGCAGGCCGCCTCATCTTGCTCCCCCAGGAGCAGTTGATAGGTTTGAACCACTGACCTTGCTGTTACCAGCTTAATACTTAACCCACTATGTCAGCAGTGCTCCTTTTACTTCTGTGTAGAAAACCATTTATTTTATATGTAAATTTACTTATAAATACATCAAGAAAAGATGTTGAGGAATGTATATCAAGCTTTTAAACTGGTTATCTTCTGAAACTTGTGGAAGTGAGTGGCTATGATGGTAAAGAGTGTTGTTGTTGTTAGTACCATCGAGTTATTGCCAACTCAGCGACCCTGTGTAGGGTTTCCGAGGAGCAGCAGGTGGGTTTGAACTTCTGACCTTATGGTGCACAGTCTAGTGCTGATCCTTCAGTGCCACGCCACAAGTCCGTGGTAAAGAGTAGAGATTCTGTACACTTTTATAGTGTTTTTTAATTGGTCACATATTGCATGGGTAATCCAAAAACCAATAAAGCAAGTTTGGTTCAGGGAAGCTGTTGGAGGAATTCAGTTTCTTAAATTAAAATGTCTAGGTCACTGTTGACCTAGGACAAAATAATAAAACGAGAAATAATAACTATAAATTTAAGGGGGAAATTACCTAATCATTTATAAAACATAAATTAATAAAATAGGAAACAACTGAAATTGCAGATTTTTTAGAAATTAAGATTCGTGAAAATATTGGGTAACAAAATCTATGATAAGTCAGGAAAATTTGTAGCCTTAAGTGATTTTATTATATATAATTAAAAAGTTGGTAAGTTAAGAGCATTCAACAAAGCTAAAAATGAAAAAGAAAATGGAAGAAATATGGATAAAATCAGAATTAATAAAAAAAACTATTTTAATTATCATAATAGATATATTTCTGGCAACGAAAGAAAAAGGATATTCTGTTGGATACCTCATCAGCAATACATTTAGTTTATCCAAACAAATCTGATTATTTCCCCCTAAAATGCCTTGTTTCTTTGCCAGTCTTGTAGCTCAATAAACCAGGAGTCACTCTTGACGCCTCTTTCTCTCTTGATATTCAGTTAGTCAGGATGTGTCTCTCTCTTCTATCTCTGTAGTAGATTTTTATGGAGTCCTTTTTCCTTTTCTCCTTGAAAACCGCCCCTCACTCCCACTTTGTTTCTTTTTTTCTTTCTCTTTCTTTCCTTTCTTACTCCCTTCCCCTCTTTTCTTTTGCTCCTTTTTTTTCCTCCCTGTTGTTGTTGTTAAGTGCCATCCAGTCAGTTCCAAACCTGCTTATGGTTTCTGAGGAGCGGCTGGTTAGCTTGACTGCTGACCTTACAGTTCAAATGGCTGGCTTTGCAGTCTGCACATTAAACCACAGGGCCACACCAGCACTCCTTTTTCCCCCTTAGATATAGAAATTTTAGCCAACCATTATTTGGTTTACACAATCATCAAGACTTTTCTCATTGTCTTTTTTCCTTTCTTTCCCAATTCCCACACCTGTCTCTTCCTTCTCCTCCTTAGGTAGGCACTATATGTTGATATATGTACTTGAATATATGTGTATCTTGGGGTTATATACAGTATTTTATGTATATATGTGTTTTTAGTATACATAATTGATCTTGTGTTATCATTTTTCTTTTTCATATTTCTGTAAATCCTTCTGACTATTGCATAGTGTTTTTATTAAATGACCTCACATCCTTGGCCACTGGTCCTAAACCAAGATTCAGAGTCCTTACACAGATTTTTTTTTAAATGAAACTGAGAAAGAAAATCCTTCTCCAGTGTGGAAGCCAAAAAGTATAAAACATAGGAGCTGACAGCAGCCATGTGCCCTGCCATGTGGAACCAGCTGGTCTGCAATGAAAAAGAATGAAGCCAACATGCAGAAAGCAGCAGAGGTGAGACACAGTGAGTGGGTTCTGGAAGCTCTCCAGTTCCTGGTTCCAGCTGTTCCTGAAGCTCCATATTCCTGCCTTTCCCATGGTTTGTTCAATGCTTCCTTGAACTCCATGAAGCAGTAAATCTCACCACCACCCCATTTTGTGCCAAAGCTAGTTCACACTGAGATTCTATCATGTGCAACTAAGAGGCCTTACTAATACAACCTCCAAAATGTATCCTGAGTGATTTTTTTTTATTATTATTATCTCCATCTCCACCATCTAAGCCCCTTTGTCTTTCATGTGTATAACTTTTTAACTTGACTTTCTGATTCCACTCTTGCTGCAGACTTTTCATTCACCATAATGTAGCCAGAGTGAGTTTCTGAAAATATGAATGCTAACATGGTCACTTTGTTATTGTTGTTAAGTGCCATTGAGTCGATTCCCACCCTGAGAGACCCTGTATAGAGTTCTACCCAGAATTTCTTAATGGTGTTTCATTGTTCAAAAGAAAAAGTTCCAAATTCTTAATAATCCTAGTCCAGCATGATTTGGACTCTGGCAATTTCATCTCCTTGTCTATTATAACACTCCCCCTTGATCATAATGTTCAGATATATTGACCTTCTTTTAGTTCTTGGAATATGCCAAGCTCTTTCTTAAAGCCTTCAGACCTGAAACACTTTACTCCCCACTATGCATGTTAAAGGAGCTCTGGTAGCGGAGTGATTACAAATCAGGCTACTAATCTCAAGGTAAGCAGTTCGAAACTACCAGCTATTCCGTGGGAGAAAGATGAGGCTTTCTGCTCCCATAAAGATTTACAGCCTCGGAAACCTTGTGCAGGGTCGCTGTGAGTCAGAACTGATTCCATGGCACATAACCACAATAACAACTACTACATGGTTAACTCATTCATCCTATGGGTCATAACCTAAATTTCACTTTTCCATACAGGACCTTCCTCAACCTCCTATGAACTTAATAATGTCCCCTATTATTATAGTTTTTCTTAATACTCTTTCCTAATAGCACCTGTCAAAATGTGTAAATCCTTATATATTTTTCAACAATTTATTACACATCTCTCTGCTAGTAGTTACAAGTCTGTTCTTCTAAAACACTGTTCCCTGGGTATCCCTGGACCAAACAATATATGATATATAGAAGATGGTCAGTATTTGTTGATTCAAGAAATGAATAAATAAATCACAAATATGAAGGGTACTTAGAAATGTTTTATTAGTGCAACAAGTGGCATCAACCATTCTCCCACAGTACTCTACTCAGCTGGCTTAGAGAATTCATTGCAATGGCCACACAGAACTCAGACAACATACTCACAATTAGGGAAGTTACAATTCAGAGTCAAAAATGCTCAGGGCCCAAATTTTCTAGTCAGGACAGCCTCTCTCAGCCATGTCATCAGGCAGGCCTCTCTCTGGCCCTCAGCCCCTTGACCTGGCCTCTGCCTGTTCCAGCAATGTTACAAAGCTTTTTAGGGATGCTAATAAATGTCCAAAAGGCACTCACTCCACCAGTATAAGCCTCAACCCAAAGATGCTCAGTTATAGCTCCATGGGTCAGCAAACTTAGAGCTTCCCAATTAAGTGCTTAGAGGCACGCACTACACAATTAAGCCTCCTGCCCAGAGGCACTCAGCTTCTTTTTTTCCATGGGCTGGGAAGTCCACTACTCTGGTGCTCCTCTACCACTCCTGTGCTGCTTACTCCTCTGGTGTCACAGCTGTCTGTCCTAGGCCAAGGAGGTTCAGTGTATTAGTAGGGAAGCCAAAGGGTGCACTTTACTCCTCTCCCTTTCTTCTTGTTAGTAGTGAGATTCCTCCCTTCTTCTTATGTGATGGCTCATTTTATACCCAGCAGAATGAAAAAAGTGACCAATCACAAGTAGCTCTGATGACAATGACTCACAACTGAATTATATAACCCATCAGTATCTTCCCCCATCTTTTCTTACCCAGACCCATCAGGAAATAGTTGTTTGGTGGGAATTTACAAAGACTATGGTTAGAAGAGACATTAAATAATTCCTACACTATCTTCAATATGTAAAACTTTATACTTAAATTAATAAACTTGACATTTTAAATGAGATTATTTTACCAAAAATATAAATTACCGAAATTAATTCATGAGGAGGTGGCAAACCCACATAAACCTATAAAAAACTGTGAAGTCACTGAAAAAGTTATCAGAGGTATATTTTGTAAGGTGAAGACAAGTTTATTTAAAGATAGTATGCTTATTTTCTTTTAAAGAATGGGAAGAGCCAACTAATAAATTAGAACTAATAAGCTATTTTAATAGTGTCCTATAGTATAAATATTTTTAAAACTATTCATTATCATATACATCATCCGGAAACACTTGGAAAATCTAATTTTAAAAATACCTAATTTCAATAGTAACAAAAGAATACTGAAGAACAAATTTAATTAGATGTGCATAGGACACAAATAAAGAAAACTTTAAATTTTAACTGATAAAACTAAAGAAAAAAATAAATCTAAAAACATCCATGAACATGGATGGGAGAACTATATGTGCCTGCAATTCATTTATGTATTTTACAGTGGAATTTTTGGCATACTTTTTTAAAAGAAATTTTAAAGTTCATTTGGAATAAAGTTAATTTGTATTGAAAGGATAATCTGGAAAGATCTTATTAATACAATATATAACTAGAAAAGAAATTGACAGTTTGATCAGTTAAACAAAATACAAAGTCTAATAAAGCCCCAAAAATTAACAGAAACTCAATTTTTGATTAATGTTGCATTTAAGAGGAAAAAGATGGTTCTGTAAGTAAGTAATGCTAAAATTTGACAAAAGAATATGTGACCAATTAGTAGAAAGGAAAAACTGTTCAGTCACTAATAAAGCCAATAGATGTACTCATATTTCATTACATTGACAGATAAAAATGATGGCACAAGCATGTCCTTATAACGGAGCATTCCTTGTAAACTGCAGTTGCTGCCATCCAGTCTATTGCTCATATGAAATACTTGTAGAAACCCAAGCCTGTATGACAGAGTAGAACTACCTCCTGTGTTGTTGCTGTTGTTGTTTTTCTCTTTAATCTTTATGGGAGCAGAGTGCCATTTTCTTTGTGGAACCACTGGTAAGTTTGTATCATTGACCTTTGGTTAACAGCTAAGTGTTTAACCAGTGCACTACCTAGGATCCTTAAAAAACTGCTGTAAACCAAACAAAACTCATTATGATCAAGTCAGTTCCTACTTATAGTGACCCTACAGAACACAGCAGAGCTGCCCTCTAAGGTTTCTAAGACTGTAATCTTTAGGAAACAGATTGACACATACTTTCTCCCTCAGAGCAGTTGGTTAGTTTGAACCCCCAACTTTTCAGTTAGCAGCTAAGTGCTTAAACATTGTGCTACCAGGGCGCCTTTTATAAACTATTATTAAGTGCTGTTGAGTGGATTCCAACGAGCTGGTAGGTTTGAACTGCTGAACTTACGGTTTGTAGTCCAGTGTTTATCCTACAGTGCCATACCGCAAACTGCTATATGGAATATAAATTGATATGATCTGCAACTCATCCAGAGCTGTTTAAAAGTGAATATCACATGTCTTCAATGTATTTTGATGTACAATGCTATTTGATGGGATCTATCTCAAAGACATAGAGAGGCACAGATTTTGTAGCAAGGCTGTTCATTTCATCATTATTATAGAAAAGGAAAAAGGAAATCTAAATACTCAACAGTAGAGTATTATGTTAATTATGATGGCTATGTGCTCTTGACTTATAGCAACTCTGCATAGGTTTTCCCAGTCTATAAATCTTTATGGAAGGAGAAAGCCTCAACTTTCTCCTGAGGAGCAACTGGTAGATTCTAACTACTGACCTGTGGTTAGCAACCCAGCTCATAATCTTCACTACCAGAGCTTCTGTACATAATGGTATTTAAAAAAAAATTAATAATCATGAAGTCACTTTAGTAGTTAGAAAAATATATCTATTGATAAGAAAAGACTCATGGAATAATAGTGACCAAAAAAACAAGTTATCAGACCTGTCCAAAAAAAAAAAAAAGATTGCATCTCTAGGAAGGTCTGGCGAGATGAGCACCAGAGTTTAGATACAACTGTCTTTGGACAAGAAACTTTAGTAATTGTTTTTATGTTCTTTTCGCATCTCTCTACTTTACAGATTAAAAAATTGTTTCTATTGAACATGTATTGGTTTTATAAGACTAAAAAGAATTGTCATTTTAAATTACTACAATACAAGAATTTAAAAAATGAAAGCATAATGCAATTATTGAAAACTGAAGAAACTGAGCCAAATGTTTATTTAGATGATAGGAGCAAATGACTTTGATTTTTAATTGTCATATTATGTGTACATATGGAAAAAAAAAAAAACAACACCAAAACAGAAGGAAACATGGAAAATGAACATAGTTATTTTATTAAGATAGTAGGATTATGGGTGATTTTTTTTTCCTTGTTAAATTATTTTTTGTTAAATAATCCTTGAAATGAAAATATATAGCAGATTTTGAATCCAATTATTCAAGCAGCTTCACAACAATGAAAAGCAAAGTGGAAACCAGTTAGAAGGTGATACGGAGGCAGTAGTTGAGTTTTAGGCTTCCTTAATCACCATCAATTACCTTCTAGAAAGCTTTGCCAAAAAACTTATGTTATGCTTACTAATATATTCAGCTTCAAGACAAATTTCCCTTCTACAAAGAAATTAGGAATCCCCAGTAATGCAGGCAGTTCCCATATGAATACCAAAGACTCTAGGTCTGTTCTGCTGTGTTATGTATTTTCAAATTCTTTGACTAGACACATTTCTCGTATTTTGATTTGGGCCCTTTCTTACTCTTGGGTTTCAGAATCATGTGTGCTCAATACTGCATCTCCTTTGCTGATGTTGAAAAGGCTCATACCAACATTCAAGATTTTATCCACATTACACCAGTCCTAACAAGCTCCATTTTGAATCAACTGGCAGGGCGCAATCTTTTCTTCAAATGTGAACTCTTCCAGAAAACTGGATCTTTTAAGGTAACAATCCATTTTGTTAGTGTATTATATATTTTTTTCACATCCTTTCACATAAAAACTTGTTTGGTCTTCCTGCATACCCGGTGAGGTCTCACTCATTGCCAGCCAGTCAATTGCAACTCAGTGACAATTTATAAGGTTTCCAAGGTTGTATATCTTTACTAGAACAATAGACTTCATCTTTCTCCTGTGAAGTGGTTGGTGGGCTTCCACTTGTAGTTTGCAGTCCAGTGCTTATCCTACAGTGCTACCAGGGTCCCTACCCCAATGTTGTTGTTAAGTGCCAGCGAGTCGATTCCGACCCATAGCAACCCTGTATAGGGTTTCCAAGGAGCAGCTTGGTAGGTGAATTATTTAATACTTTTTTTTTTTACTTTTTATTGTAAATTGAGTGAAGGTTTACAGAGTTTATCATCAATTTTATAGTCTATAAATCTGTACACTTTGTTGCTACAAATAATATGCTTTGTTTCATCTTAATGATTACAATCCCCTCCATATAACAACATTTATCCCACTTCCTCCATTTGGTCCGTATTTCCATTCTACTCTCCTTCCCAAAAAGGAATTAAGAAGACAAGAAATAAGGAAAAGGTCAAAATGGATGTCAGAAGAGACACTGAAACTTGCTCTCAAGCATAAAGGTGGAAGAAATGAGGAGGTACAAGAGCTGAACAGAAAATTTCAAAGATCAGCTCAAGAAGATAAAGCCAAATATTACAACAAAATGTGCAAAGAGACTGGAGTCAGAAAACCACAAAGGAAGAACACACTCGGGATTTTTCAAGCTGGGGGAACTGAAGAAAAAATTCAAGCCTTGACTTTCGTTATTGAAGGATTCTCTGGGCAAATTTTTGAATGATGCAGAAAGCATCAAAAGAAGATGGAAGGAATACACAGGGTCACTATACCAAAAGCAAATAGTTGAAGTTCAACCATTTTGAGAGGTAGCATATGATCAAGAGCCAATGATACTGAAGGAGGAAGCCCAAGTGCATTGAAGGAATTGTCAAAGAACAAGGCAACAGGAATTGATGGAATAAAAATTGAAGTCTTTCAAGAAAGTGAGGTGACACAGGAGGCACTCACTCATCTATGTCTAGAAATTGGGACGACAAATATCTGGCCGATTGAGTGGAAGAGATCCATATTTGTGCTCATTCCAAAGAGAGGTGACCCAACGGAATGCGTAAATCATCAGACAATATCTTAGATATCCCATGTGAGCAAAGTTTTACTAAAGGTGATACAGAAACGGCTGCAAGCATACATTGACAGAGGTTCAAGCCAGAGTCAGAAGAGGCTGTGGAATGAGGGATATCATTGCTGATGTCCGATGGATCTTGGCTGAGAAAGAATGTTTACCTGTGCTTTATTTACTACGCAAAGGCTTTCGATTGTGTGGATCATGACAAGCTATGGACAACATTGTGAAGTATGAGTATTCCAGAACACTTCATTGTGCTCATGAGGAATCTGTACATGGACCAAGAGGCAGTTGTTCGAAAAGAACATGGGAACATTGAGTGGTTTAAAATTAAGAAAGGTGTGCAACAGGGTTGTATTCTTTCACCATACTTATTCAACCTGTATGCTGAGCAAATAATCTGAGAAGCCGGGTTATAGGAAGAAAAACGTGGCATCAGGATTGGAGGAAGACTCATTAACAACCTGCAATATGCGGATGATACAACCTTGCTTGCTAAAAGTGAAGAGGACTTAAAATATTTACTTCGGTATGGATTGCAAAGAAAACAAAAATCCTCACTGCTGGACCAATAAACAACATTCTTACCAATGGAGAAAAGATTGAAGTTGTCAAGGACTTCATTCTTCTTGGATCAACTATCAACACTCATAGAAGCAGCAGTCAAGAAGTCAAATGATGTATTGCATTAGGCAAATCTGCTGCACAAGACCTTTTTAAAGTGTTAAAAAATGCAAAGCTGTCGGCTTCAGGACTAAGGTGTGCCTGACCCAAGCCATGATATTTTCAGTAACCTCATATGCATGTGAAAGCTGGACAGTGAATAAGGAAGACTGTAGAATAATTGATGCTTTTGAGTTACAGTGTTAGAGATTATTGAAAGTGCCATGGGCTGCCAAAAGAACCAGTGGATCTGTGTTGGAAGAAGTGCAGCCAGAGTGCTCCTTTGGAGCCCAGGATGGCCAAACTTTTTCTCTTATACTTCAGACATATTGTGAGGAGGGACCAGTCACTAGAGAAGGATATCATGTTTGGTAGGGTGGAGGGTCAGAGAAAAGGAGGAAGACACCCAGTGATATGGATTGGCCAAGTGGCAGCATCAGTGGGCTCAAGCATGGCAATAGTGAGGTTGGCCCAGGATTGGGCAGTGTTTCATTCTGCTGTGCATAAGGTCGCTGTGAGTCGGTACCGACTCGATGACACCTAACAACAACTCCTTCCCTTCTCAACTTTGTCCTTAGGTGAATGTTGCCTTTTTAATCTTGAATGGTTGACCATTCTATGGTGAGTATACCTTACTAGTATTGTTCCTTCTATGTACCTATCTACTGCTTGGTTGAAAATTGAGCCACAAGGGTGAGTTCTGTTTCCGACCTGAAGGGTCACTGAAGGTTATAGTCTTGGGTCCCTCCAGTCATTTTCTGACCAGTAAGCCTTTTCTTTCTTTTTTAAAAATAATTTTGAGTTTAGTTCCATATTGTCTCCCACTCTATCCAGGACCTTCTAACATGGTCACTTTTAGGGCATTTGTTAGTGGTAGCCAGACATCATCTAGTTCTTCTGGTCTCAGAGTCATGGATAATGATGTTCACATGTTCCATTAGTCCATTAGTCAACTGATTCCAAATATCTTCAATTTTCAACACTCTTCTTTCTTCCACATATGAAGACCAGTAGTTGTACCTTAGATGACAACTCATCAGCTTTTAATATCTCAGTTACTACTCACTGAAGTAGGATGTAGAACATTTTCTTTGTGGCCTATGTTATGCCAATTGATCATGGTGCCCCCTGAGACTATTGTCCTGAGCCCCCAGACCCAGTAACTCATTGTCTCAAGGTAATGTCAAAGAAGTTTTCATTATTTTTTCCCCTGTATGCTCCACCACATTTATAGGTGTGTTTGCAACAAAGGTAAATGTCCATGTATAAATACTCTTGTGAAATCCTATATATTTGTTGGTATACTCCCACTCTCCCTCTATACTATTCAGTGTATGTATTTGGCCATGTATCTACCTGTGCAACACTGTTGTTAATGTTTAACAGTATTTACCGCTATCCACTGTAACTCTTGAATTCCCATGTCTTCATTCTTCTTCCAACCTCCCTCTTGTATATTGCCTTCCCTATTACTCAACATATGTCTATCCTCTAGCCAATGAATTATTCTTCCTTCCCTCCCACCCTTGGTTTCCACCAAAGAATGTTTCTTTTAGCATGAAAACCTTTTCTTGAGTTTGTACAGTACTGGTCTCCTATAATATTTGTCCTCTGATTGACTAATTTCATTCAGCATAATGTAATGTCCTTCAGGTTCATCCATATTACAAGGTGTTTTACACATTCGTCTTTGTTCTTCAACATTGTGTAGTATTCCATTGTGTGTATGTACCAAAGTTTATCCATTTTTTCCGTTGATGGTCATTTAGCTGTCTCTGCCTTTTTGCTACTGTGAATAGTGCTTCAGTGAACATGGGTATGCAGCACATCTACTCACATCATGGCTCTTATTTCTTGAGGGTACATACCAAGTAGAGGGATTGTTAAGTCATATGGTATTGCTATTTCCACCTTTTTGAGGAAGCACCATACCATTTTCCACAATGGTTGCACCAAAATTAATACTTTTTTTTTTAATTCAGGGGAGAGCACGAATGCAGTCCACCACTATCACAAATTATGCAGTCGAGTTTCCCACATTTGGGGAAATCGCAGGGGTCAGCACATCACAAAGTGCAATGGATTAGCCTTGCCCTGGGGAAACCACCCAAAATTAATACTTTTTTATAGTTGAAGAAAGATTTGTAAAATTTTCCTTTGACAAAGTTCTAATTTCCAAGTGATACTGATGACCCACTGTTATACAATTTGAAAATTCCCTATAATTAGAGAGCCATATAATTTATTATACAAACTAGGATATATTTGAGAATGAAAGCGGAACTTCTGATATGTAGATGTGAGACATCCATACACATCAGACTAAAGTATTTGTTTAAGGCAAAATGGTAAGTGTTGATGATCACCCTTACATACCAAGTTAAAGCATTCATGTTGTCAACTTGCTTCTCATTAATACCATATTAAGATTTTAAAGATCTAATCCTACCTAAACTCTCCTAATAAGGTATTTTTCTATAAACTGTGCCATTAGTTGAGTTTGAAAGTCTATTCAGATAAGAAACAAGTATTGTTAGGTGCTATAGACAGCTCTGATTCATAGAAATCCTGATATGGTTTTCAAGACTATAAATCTATATGGGAGCAGAAAGCTTCATTTTTCTCCTATGAGACAGCTGGTAGGTTTTGAACTGCTAACCTTGTGATTAGAAGTCTAGTGCTTATCCTGCAGCAACATCAGCACTTCCACAAAGGTATTGTTAAGTGCCCTTGAGTCAGTTCCAATCCATAGCAACCCTGTATAGGGTTTCCAAGGAGCAGCTGGTGAGCTTAAACCACTGATCTTGCAGTTCAAATTGACTTTTCAGTCTGGAGCATTAACCTACAGCACCACAACATGGCTCCCAAAAAAGTTATTAGTTACCTGCTAAGTGGTGGCTTTAGAACAAGAATCTACCTTTCCCCATACCCATTAAATGAAAGGTTTTAAACTACATAAAATCTTCCCTTCTCTTTTGCCCTTTGCTTCTGTCATGGTTTACTTTTCATCACCACAAATTGAGCATCTATTATGTCAGCAATGGTACTAATTTTATATATAATAGATCTATCCATAACCTATCCATAATTGAAGGTTGATCAACAAATGAGGCTGATGGGAAATATCTTAAATGTGATACAAGCAAGGTACAATGGGAGAACAGACGATAGTGTATGTCTTATTTTGCCTGAGAGTGCAAGGAAGTTGAGCAAGATGTTTGATCCAGATTTTGCAGGTTGATTACTTTTAGCTAGATCAGGAAGTGGGGAAAGAACTATAGGTAGAGGAGAGGGATATGAGTTCACTATAAAACAACTTGTAGTTAAACCAGAAAAATTTAGGATGACTATAACAGTGTCCTGGTGTGGTGCTGTGGGATAATGTGTCTGACTGCAAAGTTGTTTGAACTGCAATGTCGTTTGAACTGCAAGGTCAGTGGTTCAAGCTCACCAGACGCTCCTTGGAAACCCTATACAGGGTCTCTATGGGTTGGAACCGACTCGACAGCACTTAACAACAACAACGTAACAGTGTGGCACTGTGCAATAAAACACTGGACTGCAAGGTTGGTTTAAACCGTAAGGTTGGTGGTTCAAGCTCACCAGCCACTCTTTGGAAACTCTGTACAGGATCACTATGAATCAGAATTGATTTGGCCGCACAACATAACAGTGATGGAGTCCTAGTGTGGTGCTGTAGCATAAGCACTGAATCACAAAGTTGGCAGTTCAAATTCACCACCTGCTCCTCGGAAACCCTATACAGGGTCGCTGTGGGTGGGAATCAACTAGATGGCACTTAACAACATAACAGTGAGAGAGGCTTTCAGAAAGGCTGCAGGTTACAAGGAGTTTGTACTTTGTCTTAAAAAAATGGGCAGTCAATGAATATAATCAGGTTTGCAGTTTTCAAAGGTAATTTTATTAATCAAGTGAATATATGAAAACGAGCCAAGGCAGGATCAGTTGAGGTTTAATAACACAGGTTGAGGAATGAGGTCCTTCAATCAAGGTATTTAAAAAAAAAAAAAAAATCCCACTGACATCAAGTCAATTCTGACTCATAGTGCTGCTATAGGACACAGTACAACTGCTCCAGAGTTTCTAAGATTGTGACTCTTTATGGGAGCAAACAGCCTAATCTTTCTCCCAAGGAGCAGCCAGTGAGTTTGAACTGCCGACCTTGTGGTTAGCAGCCCAAACTCAGAGCCTTTTGGGCTTCTGCAATCAAGTTGGTAGAAGATAAAGCACAAGGTATTTAGAAGGTATAAGATTTGGTGACAGATGTGCAGTATTAGAAAGAGGGAATATAGAAAAGCCTCTTGGTTTTTAAATATATTTTTTAGTCAAATACATTAACTCCACATCTTGCTTTCAGATTCGTGGTGCCCTTAATGCAATTAGAGGCTTGATTCCTGCCACTTCAGAAGGGAAGAGGCCCAAAGCTGTTGTTACTCACAGCAGTGGAAACCATGGCCAGGCTCTCACCTATGCTGCCAAATTGGAAGGTACTTGATTCATTTCTCAGAGTACTGAAAAGAGACAGCTGTGAGAAATAAATATTCAGAGTCCCTACCTGATTACAGACAAATGAACAGAAGCTTCTGTCCTAAGAGCTCTTGATTTGTACTATGTTTTTTCCCTCCTAGGAATTCCTGCTTATATTGTGGTGCCCCACACAGCTCCCAACTGTAAAAAACTGGCAATCCAGGCCTATGGAGCCTCTATAGTATACTGTGAACAGAGTGATGAGGTAAGGAAGCAAAAAAATGGTTAGTATTACCTAACAGTTTTCATTCGACAAAAATTCTATTCCTACCATACTGGTTGCTGTTAAGTGCCATCAATTTGGACCCAACTTAGTAACCCTATATAGGGTTGCTGAGGAGCAGCTGGTGGGTTTGAACTGCCAATGTTACTGGTTGTTGTTAAGTGCTGTCGAGTTGATTCCGACCCTTAGTGACCCAGTATAGGGTTCCCAAAGAGCAGCTGGTGAACTTGAACCACTGACCTTGCAGTTCAAACAACTTTGGAGTCTGACGCATTAGCCTACCAGGACTGCAGTGTTACTGGTAGATGCCTTCATTTTCCTTAATCACAACATGTTAGCATGTTCACACTTTAATCTTTACCCATTCATGATGTCACTAATCTCCTGGTTTTAAATACCTATACTGTCTGTCTCCAGCCATGGTCTCTCTCCTAGACTTAATATATTCAGCTGACATTCTCATTTCAATGTCTAATAGTGGCGGTTGTACCACCAAGTCAGTTCTGACTCCCAAGAACCCTGTATAGTGTTTCCAAGGCTGTAAATCTTTATGCCAAAATCTCTTCTTTCCCCTGTGGAGCAACTAGTAAGATTCAAACTGCTGACCTTGCGGATACCAGCTCAGCTTGCAATTGTTGTTGTTAAGTGTCATCTAGTTTCCGAGGAGCAGCTGGTGGGATTGCGCTACCGACCTTGAAGTCCATAGTCCAGTGCTGTTTTTACAGCACCACACTAGAAGTCCTAGCTCATTATGTTGTTGTTATCAGGTGCCATGGAGTCACTACCAACCCATAGCAACCCTATGTACAACAGAACAAACACTGCCTGGTCATGCACTAACCTCACAATCATTGCTACATTTGAGCCCATCACTGCACTGCCACTGAGCCAATCCATCTCAGGGGTCTAACTCTTTTTCTCTGACCTTCCTGTTTCACCAACCATGATATCCTTCTCCAGGGACTGGCTCCTCCTGACAATGTCTGAAGTATGAAAAAGTCTGGTCTTCTTGGCTTCCAGGGAGCATTCTGGCTGTACTTCTTCCAAACACAGAATGGTTTCTCTTAGCAGTCCATGGTACTTTAAATATTCCCCTCCAACACAATAGCCAAATGCATCAATTTTTCTGTGGTCTCCCTTATTCACTGTCCAACTTTCACATGCATATGAGGTTATTGAAAATACCATGGCTTGTGTCAGGTACACCTTAGTGTACCTCAACACTTTAAAGAGGTCATTGGCTGATCTCTATTGCTGCTTCGAATGTTGATGGTTGAAGCAAGCAAAACAAAGTCTTTGACAACTTCAACCTTTTCTCCATTTATCATTGTTGTTTATAGCTCATAATTGTTGTCATGTGCCATTGAGTCAGTTCTGTCCCATAGCGACCCTGTATAGGGTTTCTGAGCAGCAGCTGGTGAGTTTGAACCGCCACGACTTGCGGTTCAAACGACTTTGCAGTCTGGCGCATTAACCCACAGTGCCACACGAGGATACCGTAGCTCATAATGTTGTTGTTGTTAAGGTGCTGTCGAGTCGATTCCGACCCATAGTGACCCTGTACAGTGTTTCCGAGGCTGTAAATCTTTACAGGAGCAGACAGCTTCATCCTTCTCCCGTGGAACCACTGGTAGTTTCGAACTGCCGACCTTGAGGTTCATAATAGGCATCTTAAATTTATGTCTAAAACCATACTTCTAAAAGATCAATAAAACCATACTTCTGTTCTTGTCTTCATCTCAGTTAAGTAGCAACTTATATTCTTGTTGCTCAAGCAAAAAAAAAAATTAACCTAGAAGTCATTTTTATTAACGGTCACATCCAACACTCAATATAAGTCTTTTGAAAATATTCCCATAATCTTATTTCTCACCTCTACCATTACTATATGTTTTTCACCAAAAATGATTATAGTAGCTAATGGATCTCCCTGTCCCACTAGTCTTTTTTCAAAAGAGCAACTCGAGTAGGTATTTAGTAAATTTAGAACTTGTCTCATCAGCTCAAGTCTTACATGGTATCCTGTAAGACAATGGAAGCCAAAGTTGTTAAAATCTAAGCCTAGATAAACTGGCCCATTCCTCATTTTCTGACTTCACCCTCTACTACACCTCCTTACTTCCTGCCCCAACATACCAGCCATACTGACTTCTAAGCCGTTTCTTAGAATGGCCAAACACTTCGACTTTGTAGCCTTTGCACTTGTTATTACCCTTTCTGAAAATGTACTTCTAGATTCACAGATCTTTCCTACATCTGTTAAAATGTCACATTATAGGCTCTTCCTGGTCACCCTAAAGTATTCCTTTTTTCACCATACTACTTATTAAGCACACCATATATTTACTTGTGGCCCAAGTCTCCCAACTCACCAACTTATTAGTATATACTCCCTTGAGGACAAGGACGGTTTTGTTCACTGCCATATCCATAGTACCTCAACAAAGCCTGTAAACAAGTGGTCAATAGTGTTAAATGACTGGAATAGAACTTTTGAATTCTATCAAATGCAAATCAAGTAGGCTAAATTCATGTTTTCAGTCCAGAGAAAATGTTACAAAAAGAATTGTGGAAGAAACAGAAGGCATCATGATACATCCCAACCAGGAACCTGCAGTGATAGCTGGGCAAGGGACCATTGCCCTGGAAGTGCTGAACCAGGTAAAGCAGTCTAAATTCTTTCTCTTAAGACATACCAGTATATCTGATATTTGACTATAGATCTGATTAGTTCAATATATGCATATATAAAAGTGCTTACAAATAGTTCTATTTATATTTTGTATTCTTTTTGCTAAAGGTTCCCTTGGTGGATGCAGTAGTGGTACCTGTAGGGGGAGGAGGAATAGCTGCTGGAATAGCAATTACAGTTAAGGTGAGACATTGGACAATTCCCACATAAGATGATTTTATTTTACATCGTCATACATTGTATATACTTGCTCAGCCTTCCCCTCAAAAATACCATTTCTTCCCATCATCCTTGGTACTTGAGATTGACATCCTTCGCTGTCTCAATATCCTTTAATCCATGACAACTTTACAGCACAAAAGCAGTTACAGTCAGTTCACAGTTCTTTCCTTGAATCTCATCCAGCCCACTAACATCCAAGCCAGGGCTACTCTTTTCCCAAAACCCAGATGTGATACAAGCTGCTGTAGGCCCATTGGAAACTACAGTGATTTAGGGTAAAATTTTCATTACATCAAGGGCTAATTTTACTTGAGCTGAAATGTGGTAGCCCTGCTGTCTGTTTTATTCTAGGCATGCAGACAATGCTGTGGCCAGTTAAATGTCTATTAATTACTCTTCCCAGGCTCTGAGACCTAATGTCAAAGTATATGCTGCTGAACCCCTGAATGCAGATGACTGCTACCAGTCCAAACTGAAAGGGGACCTGACCCCCAACCCTTATCCTCCAGAAACCATAGCAGATGGTGTCAAATCCAGCATTGGATTAAATACCTGGCCTATTATAAGAGACCTTGTGGATGATGTCTTCACTGTCACAGAGGATGAAATTAAGGTAAGGCTCCAAAATTTACCTGAGCAATTTTTAAAGCAAAAGAATCCAATTAGGAGTACAGTCGACCTATTGGAGACTTGCCTAGGAGACTTTGTGACATGTGGCGGGGGGGGGTACCCTAGATACATATATATATTAAGATTATATATATATGTTAAGACAACTTGTTCAAAAGCAGAGCTGAGATGAAAAAGCCCTTGCCCTTTCCTGGCAAACACACGGTTATAAGAAAATTCAGACGGGCATGTATCTTTCTAGCTGTCATTATTACTGAACCAATTACTCCTTTTCCCCCATGTCACTAATTTTCACTCCCATCTGTGCCAACAGTATGCAACCCAGCTGGTGTGGGAGAGGATGAAACTACTCATTGAACCTACAGCTGGTGTCGGAGTGGCTGCTGTGCTGTCTCAGCATTTTCAAACTGTGTCCCCAGATGTAAAGAACATTTGTATTGTGCTCAGTGGTGGAAATGTAGACTTATCCTCCCTAACTTGGGTGAAACAAGCTGAAAGGCCTTGTCAATCTGTTCCCATTTAAAATTCTCTAGAACACAAAAAACTTTTTCTGGTCAGGTGTCAAATTTCAATTTTCACTTAAATAGTTTTCAAAATCCTAAGAATTGATATTTCAGTAAGATTTTAAATAGGTTTTTTTGGACTAAGTATCAACACACAAAAAAATCTATGCTGAGACCTTTGCCAAGTCCAGGAAAAGCCGTCTGTAAAAAGGGGCATATAGAGTGAAGTACAAAATGCCAACCCTGACCAAACACAACCTGTAGGGTCCTGATCCTAGAATGCTACCTAGCACCAGTAAGATAGAATCCCTTGGAACCCATTACTCCATGTCCACTTCAGGCATTGCTGAAGTAATCTCACTTTTCACCCATGGTACTGGTTCTGGTACATATGGATCATAAGTCCATTTTGGGAAAACTCGTTTATAAAGGTTCATCAATACTGTGTCCTGAGATTTGAGCTTCCCATCAAAAGTGCACTTCATGTGGCCATGGGTACCTAGAAAGTAAACAAAGCAAACTGGTCAAATTAAAACAAAAAATGTAAACAGCGGCCCTTTAACCCAACAGTAATTTTATAGACAAGGTCCCAAATCCCACATTCTCTAACCTAAAGGTTCTTTGATGTGTCCCCTGCGGCCCCACTTCGTTCTCAGTTCCACTGGTTTAAACCACAGCACATCCTCTGAGAATGAGACAGACAGAAGATCAAGATGAAATACTGACTCACAAAATCTTTCATCATGCAAAGGCAACCAGATCCCCTCTTTTTTCCACACCTACCTCTGTTGAAAAACATGTAACGCACTACTGCCATCTTAGTAAAAATTTTGAAAGGATGACCACTCAGAACAACCCTCTTGATGATCATTCTGTCTGGGTCGACTGAAAACAGGTGGCCTGTAGCAATGAGGCTGTGCATTCCTAAGGGATAAAGGCAAAACAATCATTCAGTAGTCTAGAGGCCAAATCCTTCATTTAACTATTCCAGTCCAATTAAAAACCTATGGCAAGGTCTTTTTGATAAAACCTTAAAAGTAGACCTGTCACTATCTTCCTAGCCTCCTAAATCCATGAAAAAGGTACTTTTACTGCCTGTTCCCAGAGCGTATCCTAAATACAACATTCTACACAGCCTCTACCAATAAGCTAAAAATGTAAAGTGTTAGATCCACTGGAATGCTGAGGCCTTTATATATAAAACCATCACTGAAAATTGTCATTAGCTTCTCCATACCATTTGGCTCCCCAGTACACATAAGAAGAGATACAACAGTAACACTATTAAGGCTCTACTGGTGTGGTCACCTCTATGAACTCACCATTGCTGTTCTGTTTGAAAAGCAGCACAGATGCAGGAAGAAAAGTAATTGGGGCATACACTGTCACCACCATGGCCACATCAGCAGTCAGGAATCTCTGAAATTTATGCTTATCCGCTTTCATAAGGGTTAAGAGAAAAAAAACAAATTTTTGGGAGAAGCCACTGGTAATCAGAGGCCAGTCATTCAACATGTGAAGAAGAGGTCTATCGCTGTAACTTCTAAACCTGTAGGTAGTTTGTGTTTACCTCACTAATTCTCATTATTTTTTTTCTGTCTGAATACATTGGAAAGAAAACAACCCAGTCCTATCAGAGGGATTTTTTAACTGGAAGCAAAATCTTAAGATCTTGGAATATTTTTAGGATTTGAAAATATTCTGAACAGTTCTTAATTAAGTCTTGAGTAGGAGCTAAAAACAGTCACACCGCAAATATGAGGGGGCTTCAAAAGATTCGTGGAAAAATTCCATTACAAAATTCACTTTCCAAGAGCTTTTTGAAGGCCCCTTATATGTGAGCCGTTGTCTCAGTTCCAACTATTCAATTTTGCCATTATAGCAGAAAAGCAGCCATAGACTACATGTAAACAAATTACTAGGTTTTAATAAAACTTTATTTTATTTATAAAAACAAGCTATGGAATTTGGCCCAAAGGTCAGTTTGCCACCCTCAACCTCAGAACTATTTGGAGTTTGTTTTTACCCCCTTTTAATACTGAAGCTCCAAAAAGAAAAATGCTAAGGGAAAGAGAAGTCTGTCTCTCACTTAAAATAGCATGGGGGCAAGAACAAAATTATCCAGAGCGCTCATTAACACTGCCTTATCACCTGCCTCTTGCCATTCATTGTTGAAAGCTGACAGCTTAAAGTATGCAATGATATTCACAAGCTTCCAAATTAGGGGGCAATAGATCTTCCCACTCTTAAGAATAGGACTGTAATCACTTCTGCCACCGAAGTGTCCCTAGTTCTTCATTCTTTTAATTCTTACCCAGTTTCAACATCTCAGAACTTACACTTCTTTACCATACCCAACTGTGGGCCACACCCAACCTCCATTTCTTCATGCACACTGCTGACATACCAGAGGCCAAGAGTTCCACACTTTGGCACACTCTTTTTATAAAGGTGCTGAATCCTATTCAAAACCTACTGTTGAACAAATATCATGGCAGAGAAACCTCAGCATCACATAGAAGTTCCATCACTTGGATGTTTCAGACAGGTTCAGACAATTTAGGTAAAAACATCATTGGTTCCTAAGCCAAAATACTGAAATTATCTTTTATCAAGAGACCTGTGTATTTTGTATCCCACATCCAGTACCTACTTAATTTGGAGTCACAATTTCCAAAAGACAATAATAAGGTAGACAAGAAACCAGAATCCTTTCCCACTGCTAACCTGCAGTATGCTGAGAGAATAAAGGTGAGGCTCTGAAGCGCCTAAACCCACAGTGAAAGATCAGCTCCTCCTTGGCTTTCACAGGTTCAGTGTTGCCAGGGTGCCGCCTCACCACCATATTCAATACTGACATCTGGGAGCCAAGAAAAAGAAAACTTCAGAGTCTAGGAATACAGCCTAACCACCTAACCCAAAAGAAAGCAAATCAGCCAGCAAAGTCACGCTGGGAACTGACAATACTAATTAACCATTAATTGTAGATGATGGAACATTGATTCATTCCTTATGTCTACTAGCAAGTAGCATTCAGTCAAATATTGGCTGATTTCCAGAGGTTTTATGTACACCCTCCTCCCAGAGTCTACCATGCAAGCATTCAACATCTGTCACAAAGTTAAGTACTTACCACATACCTCAAAAACTACACACAAGTGCACTCTTCCCAACTCTTAGCCACACCAACTCAACGCCAAAATTTTCACACACATCCTAACTTACTGCTGGCCAAGAGAAAAGAATCTGCACTCCTGGCATAAACCTTTAATTTAGAAGGCTGTCAATTCTTATTCAGAATTTGATCTGAAAAACATACTTAGCTCAGAGAAGTCTCAGAACCACACAGAGATTGCATCACTAAGATGCTTCAGACAGGTTCAGACATTTTGGGTAAAACCATCACTGACTTCTCTATTCTCTCTAATTTCTAACCCTAAAGACAGAATTTTCACATTCCTAATGGGCAGAATGTCAGTCTCATAAAAAAATTTCAGACTGAAAGTTCCTAATTCCCACAAGATACTTTTTTACCTTCTGTTCATGAGGTAGTAAGGAAAATGCAATCAAGGGTGCTCCTTGCTTGAAGCACTCAACCACTGTTACAGGGACTTCAGAGACATGAAGTGTGACATACCAGCCAACCTGCCAGAAGAAAGCACAAAACCACCAGAGTTATCCTTAAAGTTCCAATGACGATGAAGGAAATGGTTTCTCCAGATGTGTTTCACCAATGGCTGCCCTAATTCAACTATGGGCAATATAAAACTAATTAAGGTACTCATGACAAGAGGAGTAAATTAGGGGGCACACTGCATTGCCAAAGGCATGCAAATGATAAGGAAGGAGAAAGGAAGGCAGATACCTCAGCTCCTTCCATGTCTTTTTCCTCAATTTCTTTAAAGATGCGTTTTCTAGTATTAGTAAAGTTCTGAAACTGAAAGATCCGTGCATAATCTTGAGGAAGGTTTTCCTTAGGATCCCATGGAGATGTCCGGAAGCTTTTGAGGCCTCTGTATTTCTGAAATCTAGAATATAGATTTTATAAAATTAACAAGTCAGATTTAGGTGGTGCTATTTAACTCTTTTACTCAGTCATCATTTCTAAAATGGCTAAGATTCTAGTTTGAAAGAACTCTAGTCATCAACACCTAATAACTAACATTTTAGAACCAAACCCAAGATTCTCACTAACAAAGGGTTAGGTATTTACAGTGGCTCCCTAGTGCTTTCCAAGGAGTGGATCTTTAACCTACCAAACTAGAACTTAGAGAAAAGTCCTAACTCCCTAATATCCAACATAACTCTAGCTTTGGTCAGACACATCTCCAGAGTAGACATGATCATCTACATCATCATGATTTTACTCATGCTGTTCTATCAACCCCACCTCCTTAACCTCAGTGTAGTAGCTCTTTTAGGGAGCATTTGCAAATTAACCTTAATACTTCTCCTTTACTGAAGTCCTATAATGCTATTTGCGTCTGTACCACAAAACTAGAACACAATTATTGCTATTTCTTGTATATGTCTTGCCTCCCATCTAGAATGTTAGCCCTTAAGGGACAGGGACCCATGTGTTTTTCTTTTTTTGCATCACAACTGACAAAGTTATGAGACGTTTAAGTTTTAAATAAAAGCAAACTGATTGGACTTTTGACTAACCGAATTCTAGCAGCTACATCCCGGGGGGTATCCACTTCATCTGGAAACATCTCTTCTAGTCTTTCTTGTTTATATTTCTCCAACATTTGTTCCTCAGCCTCTTCATCCACTTTTTCATCATACAGGTCATCACGCACAGACTCTCCAATAGTCATCGTTTCACATTCCTCCTCCTCTTCCTCTTCACTACTCTCATCCTGTAGAATAAAGGACTGTGGATAATTCATAAGAAATCCAGACCTCCCTCTACCCCAAAGCCTTTAAGCTAAGGATAAAATACTTTTACTACATACCTACTTTCAACGAATACCAATAAATTATAAAACAAAAACTTCATTCCTAGTCATTCCTAAGA